GGGGGGGGGGGGGGGGGGGGGGGGGGGGGGGGGGGGCAACCTCGCCCGCGTGTGCCGGCAAACAAAAGTAGGCTTGGGAAGTGGAGGCGCCGGGGTTGGAGATGAGGAGGGGATTTCCGCCGCCCGTGGTTTCAGAAGCGGCTTTTCAAGATACACGTGAAAGGGCCCGTCGACTTTGGGCCAGCGAGATGCGACAGCCCACCCACTGCTGCCCTCCCCACAACCCATGGACCTCCACCAAACATTAAACACAGTTAAAAGTAACACGCACCTCATAGGAGGTCGAACACACCACCAGAAGGCTATTGAACGCCTCCCTCCCAGGCCTTAGCCCCCGCTCCCCCATATCCCTCATCAGCAAGCGGGCTTCGCCGTGGCTCCCGGATTTCACGCAGGCGTTTATCGCCGCGTTGAAGGCCGGCTGGAGAGACGACCGTGCCGGCAACGGACCCTCCGCCGTGCTTGTTTCCCTCCTATCCCACGCCGCCGCCGCCCCAGCAGCAGCTGACTTAACGCCGTCGATGGTAGCCTCTGCATCCTTCCCACCCGCCAGCTTGCCGCCGTTGAACATTGCCGTCTCGTTCACCAACGACCTTCCGCCCGAAGCCGCTATTCCTGCGTCCGCTCCTACCCCTCGTTCCTTCGAAATTGTTGTCGACGACGTGCCGCTGTCAGCGACCGGCGAGGTATCCTCGCCCGGTGGTTGGTTCCGTTGCCGCCGCCGTCTATCCGGTGTCGGTGAAACTTCCGCCGCCCCCGCTTCCTTTTCCCACTCCCACGCCGCCGCTGGACTTGCCGTTGATGACTTTTCATGGGCATCATCCTCTTGCAACCGCCGTGATAGCCGCACCTGTTCGTCGAGCCAAGCGTCTTCCAATACCGCCGCCTCTCGTAGAACGGCCATCGCCAGCTCCAGCCGGTTCGCGCGCCCGCACGCCGTTATCGCCGCCGTCAGGCAGTGGACGTTCGGCGGGAGGAGCGGAGTGTCCCCGCTGCCACCGCCGCCGCCGGCGATAGGGGCCGTCCCTCCTATCCTCTCTTCCCCCATGACCTTGAGCAGACCGACCGCTTCGTCGGCCAAGCGAGCGCGCGAGCAGCCGTCGATGACCGTGCCGAAGCTGACGGCGTCCGGGCGAGGGAGAGGGAGGCGGGGGTCCCACCGCAACAGCGCTGACCAGTCGTCGCCCTCGTCATTGTCCCGGCTCCCTTCCCCGCCGCCGCCGTCGGCGGTGGATTCTTCTTTTCCGATCTTCGCGATCGCGTTCGCGCTTGCGGACGAGCTTAGCGGCGGCGGCGGCGGCGGCGGCGGCGGCGGCGATGCCTCGCTCCTCGCCGCCGGACTCGATTCTCCTTCGCCTAGGGGGGGTTGCGGGCGATAATGAATTTCCGCTAGCCCTTGCGTTCTTCTGTAGCTCGTACTGCTGCTGCTGCCGCCGCTACCGCTGCTGAATGCCTCTTCGTCCTCCACGGGATCAAACTCCGTCAATCCTGCCGCTATTGTTTCTGCTGCCGCCACTGTCACCGGCGGCGGCGGCTCTAAGCTAACCCTACTGCTAACGAGGTTCTCCTCGGGTGCTGCCGCCGCTGCTGCCGACAGCACGGGTGGCGGGGTCGCCGAGGAAGGCGGCACGGGCGCTACCGCAAGCATTTCGTCCAGCAAGCGGAGAGCCTTGTCGACCCTGGGAGGGGACGAAAAAAACGTTGTTTGCGTCAGGCATGCGTCAGGCAAGGCCGTCCATAGGCACAAACATCGTTGTTTTTTGTGCTTACGGAGAGTAACTGCTGCGGGAACAGCGATAAGAACAAACGCCCTTGAGGCATGCTTTCGGTATGATCTGCAAAGCCGCCTTGTAGAGACGCGATGGGACTAGAGCAAATCTCAACACCTCGCGACCTGCGAGAGCGACGTACCGCAGGGAACCACAAATTCCGGTATTCAGGTATTTTCCGACTTCCTTGGTTTTTAATGTTTTCGTACATTCGCCCGGCGCACGCTTGTTCTTCAGCTATTGCATCGCTTAAGAGCAACACCAAAACAGCAGCAGGAGGGGCAGTAGCAGCACCATGCACGACATTAAGCGCCCCGGGATGGACCATCGTCAACACCTAGACCACACCAACCACCGCAGCTAAACACCCCAACCCCCCCCCCCCCCCAAACACACACACCGTTTCCCACGGCTGTATGCCTGAAGGAGCGCGTTGCAGTGGACCGCAGTAGGGAATAACGGCGACTTGCCCGAGTGGGCACAAGCAGCAACGTCACCGCCGGTACCATCGTCACCGCTACCGTTAGCGACCTCGAGGGACTCGATGTAAGCGTCCGCCATTTGCTCGACGATAGCCTCGGCCTTCTGCCAGTTCCCCGTGCGCCCGCAGGCCTCCAAGGCCGCGCCGTACGTGAAGGCATCATGGCTGAGACCTGTGGTTTCGTTGTTGTTGTTGTTGTTGTTGTTGTTGTTGTTGTTGCTGCTGCTGCTGCTGCTGCTGCGGCTGTTGTGCTTTCCTCCCTCGTACCACATATTTTAAACAGGCGCGTCTACACCATTCCCAACTCACTGTTAACGTTTGACAACGGGTGCCGCTACCTGGCATAAAAAAAATCAGATTCTTAATGGCATCATAGCATCATGTGCCTGATCCCACCGCCGTGCCGAATCGGCTCGGTCAGGAGGAACCTGGCCCACACGACCAAAACCCGACCAAAACGCAAGGCACCGCGAAGAACAACACACCCACCGTGCGTTCTCATCTCGTCCATAAGCTCGACGGCGGACCCCCAGTCCCCCGACCTCGCGCACGCCTCCATGGCGCAATTGTAGCCCCACGTCGTGGGCCGGAGGCCCTTGACGCCCCCCTCCAGGTCAGGAGACGTCCACATCCACCCCAACATCTTGCGGGCGTCGGGCACATTGCCGTCCTTTGCACAAGCCTGTTTTGCGAGGGTGTGCGTGTGCCAGGGAGGGGGGGGGGGGGCTT